AAATATAAATAAAAGATCATGCATGTGGAATATCAGAAACCCGAATATTCGAAGAGAAAAGCGATTTTTTAATGATGACGATTAACAAGAACAACAACATAATATTAAAACGATCGTTATGTCCACTAACGTTTCAAATAAGTAGCTGAGATTTCACATACAGTAAGAAACGTGTTTCATCAAATAACTCTCTTGGAAGAAAACAGTCATATGTCAGAACGGATTCGAAAGCTCTTCTGATGAAAAAAAGGCTACCATTGCTATAAGAAGACATGTTAGGTCGGCATTGGTGATCAGAGACAGGAGTGTAGCCAGGAAATTTCGACGGGGATTCTGAACTTTGTAATTGCCAAGTTAGACCATAACAGCTAGCACAAGGATCACCAACGCGCTGCCCGCGGGCACCAAGTCGCCAGCGAAGACCATATGAGTCGCCCGCAGGTCTGTTCCATACTAAGCTTAATAACGTCTCTTATAAGTAAGCTACATCAATTAAATTTTTTCCTGCTATTTTACTATAAATCACACTTATATGGGAACTAGAAATGACACTATATTAATTATTGTAACCATCAACCTTATTTTTATTTGACCTCAGTGATGTGACGGGTCAATTAACACTCTTCCAATTATGACATCACACTGAGATCACTTTCCACGAACCCGCGTTTTTTCTTGTCCGTTGGTTAGCGGAGCGGAGCAGTATACAATTATTGATTCCAAAGAAAAATCCATCATTTCCACGATGAATGGGAGGTGGATATATTTTTACCACCATGAAAACAGCCTGCGTGTGACTCATTAGTGGGGCGATTTTAGCGACGGCAAAGCGGAGAAATATTTCACATCTTGTCACGTAATCTTCCGCGCTAACTACCCACTGGTCAGCACAGTATGGACAGAAAAAGCTCGCGAGTCAAATCATACAGCAATCCTATTTTACGAGACCATCGTTTGTTTCAACCTATCCTTTCGAATCAACATTTTTGACATAAACTCAGGATAGGAGGAGATTTACATATTTATCCAGGGGGAGAAGATAGCCGATAGGACGGCTTAACCATATGACAAACCACGGCTTCTCGCCGGTCACCATTCGATGTCGGGTATGGGATTAGTTAGTTATTTGTTTCCGGAAGCATGAACTTGATGGCGAAGGAAGCCTCAACCGACCAGCGGTTACGTGAACCACCCTACGGCGGCGAGGAGTCCAGCAATTCTTTCGTACATAACTATCCCCGCATGGGATTCTAACCTGCGAACCTAACGCCTAACACGATGGGCCGTAGCGCCGCGACTCACTCCACCAGGAACAAACATGGAACACGCCTCACTGATGAAAATCTGCAAGACTCGCTCAGAGTTACAGTGTCAAGTTACACGTCGGAGTATAATACTCTGCAACATTTGATAGTACAACTGTTGAGTTCATTTTATCTTAGACTTGTGCAGATTGTTGAAAATCAATTTAAAAACACTCAGTTTTGAAATACAAGTGTTATTGATAGAAATTTATTTGCAACGTTGTGATATGCGTTTGATTTCCTGGAGAATCCTAAAGTTTATTAGTGTCTATACTTCACTAAATACCAGTAATTATATCAATAATTGAAGCTTAATCGAGCAACTGAGTTTTTTAGAATTGTAGGCCTACATTGAACTGGTAGCCCGCAGCTTAATCTGTACCCAAGAAGTAGCTCTCGGCTTCGAAAAGGTTGGTGACCCCTGCTAGCAGAACCGGCTCAGGGTCTAAAAAGCGTTCTAAGCTATGAAAAATTTCTGTGTGATACGAAAAAATTTGCTTTATTTACATTTTAGAAGAGGGGTCTGACCCTGATCTGATCTTTAAACTCAATATTTCAAACTTGCAATGTCAACATTGTCAAGTCCGACACTCCGAGTACTAGGGCATTACAATTTTTTTTTATCATTCTTTATTGTTAAAAATGTCTTGACCCCTTCCATTTCAAAGAAAAAACATAATTCTGCAAAATATTGTTCATATTTGTCCAATTTACTTTCAGAAATTTTAAAACACACAAAAACAGCTAAAAGTTTAAGTATATAGAGAGAACGGCGGGTCTGAATTCAGCAGTATAAAAGTCTATATCTAAGTGCTTTTAAATTACAGAATTCTACCCTGCTTGTCAGGATGTGATTATTCTGCGCAGTCATGCTTTAGTGATCATAAAACGGGAGAGCTTTTTGAGATTGAACAGTTTAAACCAGGGGTGTGCAACCTTTAAAGAGGGCCAGATACAAATAACTTGGTGAAACCGCAGGCCGCACTTTTTTAACATAAGCTTTCTAGTAGTCGCAGGCACAAAAAGTTTGGCTATTGATGATTTGGCTATTTATTATGACATGTGTAGTTCGCTTTGCACAAGCAAGCCATAAGCATAGATGTATATATAGCTATGCAATGCAAAGGAATTGGAAGGATTGGAATTACTAGCACAAACCAGATTGATACAGGCCGTAAACCTTTCAAAATTGTCAATTCTGCGTGGACCACACAATTTTTCCTTGTGGGCCGCAGGTTGCACACCCATGCGTTAGGACGTCCCTAGAGTTTGACATGCTTTTATTAACAGTATTGGAGTCCGGCAGAGTTTAGTTTGAATTGCTCTTATTGATATTGAAAAGCTGTATTCAAAGACTAGAGCAGCGGTTCCCAACCGGGGATATTTAAAACTATAAATACTGCTGGAATGATAAACAGGGGGCCAATGAGTCCTTAAAGCCTCAGGAAGGGAGCTGTTGAAGGTTGGGAACCACCGGACTAAAAATTAGAGACTACTAGAGTAGAGTCCGGAGTCAAAAATTCAAATCTAAGCGCTCCGGAAATATTTGCACAAAGATGGCGCACAGCCTGAACTCTGACCTGGTACCTATACATCTTGGTGCACATACTTCGGGAGCACCCTAATCTATGGCATTATTTTCACTATCCATTGGAATATTCAGAGTAAAAAATACTTTCAGACACCAAGAACGCTGCGATTTACATCCAGTAAATAGAAAAGCTGGCATTACACACCAAATTAATTCGGGCTTGGGTGCTCCCAAAGTATTCGTACCAAGATGGCGCACAACTAAACATAGTATGTGTACCAGGTTGAGGTTGTCAGGTTGTGCGTCATCTTGGTGTGAATACTTCCGGAGCGCCTGGGCTTGTATATAAATAGCAAAACTTGAATACATTCTGAGATTCTGGTAATGTAAATGACATGCTCCTAAAAAAATGGTTATTAGAAAAATACACCACCCTGCGAAAAAAAATACACTCGAATAAATACTTGAATAGTCACACATAACTCATACAAAAATATTGTTTCACCAAAAATTCGAACACAAAATCAGAGTTGTAGAGATGGGATACAGAGTCTTACTTTTTTGTGGTCAAAATTTGGAATTCTCTCTTTAATTATAGTTTCCGACTTCTAATGGGTGATAATCATAATTTCGACAAAAACTCAAAAATTAAGCCAAAGAAGTTTTCTTTACAGACAATTGAAGCTTGTATAAGCAGAAGCGTAACCAGGCATTTTTAAAAGTGAAGGTCTTGATATTTGTTATTGCCAAGTTGGACCGTAATTGCTAGGTCTGCCCGGTGGTCGTATAGGTCTTCGAGAGTCCCATAAAGTGTTTTATGCTACAAAAAATTGCTTTTTTTTACATTTCAAAAGGATGCAGAAGCAGATGGGTTTTCAAGAGTTCAAAAAGCATTTTATTTTACGAAAAATTGCTAGGTTTAAATCAGCAATTTTTACATTTAAAAAGGGAAGGAGCAACCCTCTAAACCCCCTGCTGGCTATGTCCCCGTATATAGGCTACAGTTCTCATTATCAAATTTGGTTTCCAAAGTTCAGTCCTGGAATCATAATTAAAACATCAAAAAATATTCAATTCCTAACAGTCTATCAAAGAAGATCACAAATATAATAAAAGTTAAGGGAATACCACATTTAAATGAGTAGATTGTCATAAGGAATTGTGTCGGTGTCTTTTATAATAATTATATGAGAAACCCCATCCACGAGCTATTTCTAACCCAATAGGATATGCCATAACCCAATATATAATCATATAATGTCAAATCTAAAATGCTTTATAAATACAGGGTGTCCATAAAGTCCGTTTACAATTTCAATTTTGTTATGAAATCAGTTATCAATATTATCTTAACCAGGTTTGTTGTTTTTTAATCGGTAATTGTTTTTACCTTCATTTAATACGTCTGTGAGGGCCAATACAATATATGGTTTCGTAGCAACGTATTGTTTTGAGAAATAATATCCTCAATAAAGTGAAAATATTTGAGGAAGATAAGTTGGAAGGAACTAAGAAATGTATTTTCTATCTATGCTGTATTCTTGTTAATGTAAATATGAATATAACAAATTTTTTTATTTTTTTGGGGGGGATGGGGGGTTATTATCAAAAATATTTGTGACTATGTGGTGTTCCCGAAAAGCAAATACAAAGTGGTTGATATGTTGAATATACAGAAAATGAAAAAGCGAGGAGCACAACATAGGAGTTTATCGTGGAAAAAGAGGGGATGGGGAGGAAAAAAAACGGGACCCCAACAAATAGCACCTACTAGAGCGGTTTTCCTTCCTGGCTAGGACATTGAAATGGTGGGGGGGCATGGGGTGTGAGAAAAAATGTTATAACTTCTCTGAGTCCTGTGTTGTGACCTCACCACAGGCAAATGGACCAAAATTCTTAAAAAAACTTGAAAAACATGTCTGGATATATATGCTGTATACAGCTCTCACCTGAGTGAGACGACGAAAATTCAAGGGGGGGGGGGGGGGGATAGGGTAAGGGGTAAGAAAAAAAGTTCAGAGCCTACAGTGATACCTAGCCACTGCCAGTCTGTTCAAAATTGTCAAAATATTTATGCAAGTATGCTGAATCGTGATTTATATAAAATTTTACTCAAATTCAAATTTATCTAAAAAATTCCCCCATCCCTCAGAAATTTTTTTTTTTTGGTTTCCAAATCTGTTTTACACTAAGATAAAAATACAATCAGTAAATATTACAGAAAAAATAGAACACGCTTTTCCACACAAAAGTATAAGTAAAATCAAAATAAAATCCCCTACTTTTTTACCCCCAGTGCTCCCCCCTTTTTAATAAAAACACAATGCATTAGATTAACAATTCCTAATTTTTTTTTGTTTTTTTCTTAAATTATTTTTTCTTTGCATATTCGCAGAGGTCCTTCACATCCATCATTGCTTTTTCGATGTTATCAGCAAATCGAGATGAGTTCTGATAAGATAAATAGATAAGTAGATAATAACATGGAAATATAAATACATTCAAAAGAGTGTAATCAGAGAGTCCCCTAGATAAAAAAAAACAGTTAAGATAAGATGATGATAAAATAATGAATATGGTAATCTAATAAGATAAGACAGCCTGATGCTGCCACAACCAAACTAAAACCAAATTTTGATGTTCAAGTTTAAAATAATTTAAGGAAGACACACAGCATGATAATAGTTATTTTTTAGAGTAGAGAAACTCAAAGATGAAAAAGTTTTCTTTTTAATATAAAAAAAATGTGATATGCGTGTAATGACTACATCCAAAAAATGGGATTCCCCCTCCCTCCTTCAATTTTTGAACTATGTTTTTTGAAAGGCTGATGAGTCACAACCTATGGGTGTATTTGAAAGGTCCAATGACTTGCCATGTGGGTCATGGTTTAATGACTAAAAACGCAGGGTTGAAATGAAAATAGAATTAAAAAAGACTGTTAATTTTTCATTATCAGATTCAACTAAAAAAAAAGTTTTGGTCCAATAAGTAAAAAAAGGGTTTAAATGAAGCAAAATTGACGTGATACTATGTGCACATTCCAGGGTCGCAAGGATTTGTAACTGCTTTGTCACAGAGTGTTCAACTAAAGAGTCGCGGTCTAATAAATAAAAATACAGGGTTGAAATGAACCAAAATTGATGTGGATCTATCTATTCATTCAGGGGATCGCATGGATTTGTAAAGTCACAGGGTGATATGTTACTGAGGGTTCAACTAAAGAGTCACGGTCTAATAAGTAAAAAATGCAGTATCAAAATGAACTAAAATTGATGCGGAACTATTTGCGCATTCACAAGTTGCTGCTGTCACAGAGGGGACGAATGTTTGCTGGATATACAAATCAAGACAATTTTTTTTTAGTTTAGTTAGATACAAAGAAAATTTCTAAATCTCAAAATATATAATGGTTTTGAAATTGTGGCGAACAAATAAATAATTATTTTTATGATTTTTATTCGCAATTTAAAAAAAACTTTTTGAAATTATTATTTTTTTGACATGAAGAATTTGATGACAATAGACAGCCATGCGTTAATAACTAAAAATGAAGGGTACAAATAAAGACAGTCACAGTTGAATGATTAAAAATGCAGGGTTTGAATGATAATAACATTCTTTATGATTTTTTATCTAATGAACTTAAATTTGTGAAACACTTAATCATAGTTATGGTCAGAGGAATAAAAATGCAGGGCCAAAATGAACAAATAATTTGAGATTAGGAATGTTGGCTGGAGCATCATGGTCTGATGAACGAAAATGTAGGGTTAAATTGAACAAAAAATTGATGAATATGAATATGCAATAGAACACCGCATGATTGAAAAATGAATGGCAGTCATGGTTGGATGAATGATGACCGAAAATGCAGGGTTAAAATGAGAAAAATATTTGATTGACGATAATGACTAGAGAGTCATATGATTGAGAATCTAAATGGCAGTCATGGTCGAATGAGTAAATAATGCGGAGTTTGAAATGTCAATGTGACCAGATGAAATTAATTCCATAACAGCCATTTTGACAAATTTTTAGGGTCAAAATTTCGTGAATTTCGAATTAAACATACAAGTTGCAACAGCGTGAAAGAAAATTACGTTTCAGCGATAGCTTGCACCAGCATGATAAGAAACACCGAAAAGAAAAATGATAGTTGCGAGAAATGTTTTGAAAACAACTTATGCTTTTAGTTTTTACTTTTATGCTAATGTTTATGGTGTGAGACTATGTTGGCTGAATAAAAAACTCTGCTCACCAGCTCACCTAGGGGTGCAATAAATTTGGGTAGGCAATGATGAAAGCGGGTCAAGTGTTTTGAAAAGCAATGAGACTAATAGATCTGGAAATCCAACTTTATTTGTGCTTTTACTTTAATTCTAATGTTTAAGGGGTTGGACCTAGACGATAGTTTGAGTTCAAACATCATGTCGCCGCACCTTACCCAGGGTGTGATAAATTGAATCGGCTAAACTGGAAAGATTCTGTAACTTCTAGAACAGGAGGTTCTCACATAGTGGAGATATGGGAACCTACGGCCAGTATGTACCTCAGCATTTCATTTTAGAGGCGGGGGGGGGGGGGAATTTAGAAGGTTGGTAAATATTTTCCTATTAGCGATTAAACTATTCGTAACTTATAAAAATGTGTTATGTATTTGACAGATCATCTGCACTGATAAATATTCTACCTTCTGGATATTCAAATACAATTATACTTAAGTTAGGTAATAAAGTGCGGTATCTTACTTCAAAATTAGGGGGGTGTTTGAAATTGTAGAAGGGGGGGGAATTAATACCAACAGCGAATCAGAACCTTCCCACTTCCCAGTATTGCCTGCCCAAATAAATTGAACCCAGACCTTAAAAAAAAATGCAGCCCCTTACAAATCATCAGTGACAACTTATTAGGTTTGTCCAGAGCGAAGACACAAAACATCACATGTGGTTAGCGTATTAAAAAGTGAGTAGAAATATATGAACAATAAGAAAAAGTTATAAATCAAAAAAAAATTAAAAAAAAAAAAAAAGGAAAATGATATTCTGACCTTTTGCAGAAAGGGAGACTGCCAAGGGATTTTGAGATCTTTTGACACGACGTAGAGACTGAATAAATGACGATCAATTCCTTGACCTATGGAGGGAAAAAAGATCGGTTTAGAATTGGGGCCTTGTGGGAATTCCCCCTCCCCCCTATTGACTTGGATTGTTTCAAGCATAGCTTAGTGTAATAGTCAAACAGAGGGGTGCCCCACAAGGGGGGCGTAAACATTTTTTTGAGGGGGCGTGAAGCTAATTCAAAATAAAAATATTTGTTAGATTTGATCTTGCCCGCCTTATTTTAGATATTTACATTTATTTGGTTTTAAAATTTATGTTCCATCCACATATTTTCATCGTGTTTTTTGAATAAAACATACTTTCGCTTGATACTAGCTTGCAACTTTTCTATTAGTACCCTTTCAAATAACTTGCTTTGGCCAATGGGGAGAAAAAATAGTTTAGAACTGTCTTTTGAGTGGAATTCCCCAACCACCCCGCCACAATTCCTACCAAAATAAGAGTTGTTTTCACAGAAAAAGTGATTAAAATTTATCACCACGTTGCCTGGTATCCCAGAACCAGGCTTTGTCTACAGAAGCGTGGCCAGGAATTATTTAAAGGAGGGGGGTTTTGATTTTTTAATAGCCAAGTCAGACAGAAACAGTTATCATTTTCTACCAGATGCCGGTGAAAGTAGGTTTTCAATTATCTTGAGGGTCTAAAAAGCGTTTCAAGCTGCGAAAAATTGCTATGTATGATACACAAAAAGGTTTTTTACATTTCAAAAGGGTGCGTTTCGACCCTCAATACCCTATGCCCCTGCCTCATATAGCCAGCGGGTTGTAGGTACTAAGTTCGAATTGAGGGTAAGAAAATGTTTTTAAATAACACAATAACCTACCAGTCATTGCCTCCTCATATCCAAATACATGGCAATTCTGTCTTCATTCTGAAAAGGGAAAATTTATTAGAAATAGTGAAAACTGATTCAAAACGTTATAGAAAGATTTGAAAAGTGGGAACACTCGTTCAAATAAAAGAAGGATGAACAGAATAGCAAAGATGCCTAATCTATAAAAAAAAATTTAAGAGAGTGTTGTTGGGGCGTTAACAAAATTTTGTCGACACTAAATTGAAACTCGAGGATGCGCGTGCGGAAGAGATGTGAAAAGCACATTATCGAATCGCGCAGAAAAACAAAGCTTTGTTAACAGTTACATAACTTGAAAGTCTCTGGTAACCTAAATAACAACAATAATAGTTCGAACTATTTCATCTCAATTGAGCCAAGAAATGACTGCATCGAGTCCTGTTTACTATAACTACATTATCCTGTCTACTCACGCTCTAATGAGCATTGAGCACAACTTGATTTAGTAAAATAATAAACTCACAGTTTGTTCTGAATCTTCCATGGCGCGAACGAAAGCGCAGGATTCAGACATGCATGAACGAACAGTCTCGCTCCTCCCTTCTCGGAACAATCTCGTCTTTGAGGCTTTGTAAGTCAAACTGAAATGACCTTTGACCTGTAATAAAGATGATTTTTTTTATTTCAAAAGGGAAGAAATATGAGAAAGCGGTCTGATCTTTTTTATGGTCAAGTTATGGAATATATTATAACTAGACTGGAAATTTCTAATTGATGAGGCCGTAACAGCTAGCAGCTCCACCTGGCCGGAAAATGTGGGTTTTCAAGAGTCTTTGAGCTGACATGGGCAAACTACTGCCCGCGGGCCAAATCCGGCCCATTGGGTAATTCAATCTGGCCCGCCTAATGCTGTCACAGCCAAACTAAAACTAAATTTGGATGTTTTAGCTAAAAAAACTCTAGGAATTTGTTGAGTATGCGATTAAATTTAGTTTTAGCATGAGGCTTATTGTTCTCCACTTTTGCTTTTGTAACACTGAATATTGTTCATATAATGTAACTTTTTATGTCTCACTAACATGGACCGCCAGTCTAGATTGGCAAAATTTTTGGTCCCTGGTCCAAAACCCATGGCCACCCCCGTTATAACTAGACTAGAAATTTGAGGGTCTAACATATGTTAAGTTACGCAAAATTGCTATGTATGAACCAAAAAAATGTTTTAGTTACATTGCAAAACACATGGTGGTCTTTCGCCATTTTGCCCGCTGCCTTTATTACTGTAAGGCTATACAAAAGCCTTCAAAGCAGATGGTAACAACTATGCAAGAACTCGAAATTTTATTTGTTGAATAAATAATATTTATAATGAGAGAATTTTTAATTTGTTGTGTGATGAAATAACTAAATTTTTTATGAGGTCCAGCTAGATGTCTGAAGTTCGTGATACGACCCGTAGTAAAGGTCTCACTGCAATGATAATAAATATCAAAATGAAATTACATATACTCATGAGGTACCGGTACATCATAAAAGCCCATTTTGTGGATCACAATATAATTTATATTATATTGGTATCGGTTATCGGCCAATAGTGGCCGATATATCAATATCTGTATCGGCGGCAAAAAGTGATATCGAGCTCTAGTTGGTTATATGGCCCGCCGACAAAAAATGTTTCCCACCCCTAATTTAGAAAATATTTTCAATTTGAAAAAATTCCTCTTACCCTGAAATGTGCAAGTTGAAGAGACAATTGGATCAAAGCATCAGGAGACATTCGGAAAGTTTTGATCAATCCTTTTCGGAATTTACGAAATGGAAACACGTGGAGGTCAACGTCATCAGACAAAAGCTTTGCAATCTTTAGACTTGATTAAATGACGTCAATGCACTGTATAACGGAAAATTAATTGTTAGGATACTGATTCAACTCTGTATAAAATCAGCGCTACCAAGCAAAAAATGATAATATATAGCACAGCAGTTTCCAACTGGAGGCCACAGAGCAGTTTCTGGGGGCCACAATGCTATGTGCAAAAATGATTACATAAAAAAATAATCGGAAAGCAACACTTACAGCAGGGGTCACCAACGCGTTGCCCGCGGGCACCAAGTCGCCCGCGAAGACCATATGAGTCGCCCGCAGGTCTGTTCCAAACTAAGCTTAATAACGGCTTTTATAAGTAAGCTAGATCAATTAAATTTTGTCCTGCTATTTTAGTATAAATCACACTTTTATGGGAACCAGAAATGACACTATATTAATTATTGTAATCATCAACCCTATTTTATTTGACCTCAGAAATGTGACGGGTGAATAAATACATAAATTGTTATGGGATGGGACTTTGTGTACAAATACATAGGTGCATAGTGCAAGGCAAGAATTTGTTTCAGTGACATGCCCAGGTAATGTGTTACCAGATATTCGAATAGTAAACTGCAGCTCTAATATTTTAATATGGACACAATCAGTGGCGCAACCAGCGGGGGGGTTACGGGGGACGTGTCCCCCCCGTTTGAATTTCGTTTTTTTTTTATTATTGTTCTACGTTAAAACAACGTCGTTCCACGGTTATAACAATCCGGTGAAAACTACTTTTTTCCAGTGCTTTATCACCTCGACGTAATTTAACACCGCTCGACTTCAATCATACCTTTTCGCTGATAGTTACGTAATAATCGCTAACCCCGTGTATATGTTTGTATTCGAAAATGAGATATGTTATCTCAAAAAAGTAGAAATCGCGCGCTGTCGATGCGAATTGAAAGCGACAATAGCATAATGCTATCTCTCTCTCTCTTGTGACGAATACTCTCGTGCTTCATCATCTTGACGCAATGTAACGCCGCCCGTCTTCATGTTATAATAATGCAGTAGGAACTCTGAAAATCTGGATACGAAAATTATTTTCGGAAAAATATTGCTTCGAATAATCTAAGATTTTCTACATATGAGAGGCCGAAAACCGAAAACATCCTACCGCCCCCGTCCACGTTCTGATTTAAAAACATTCCACAATTATTTCATTTTTATCGCAATCGAAAGCAGCCATGTGTGGCACGGCAATAACTAACAGTCGTCGTGAAAGGTTTTCAATAAACTCTGACTTGAAGTGCTTATAAGACGTCGAGGACGTTTTTGGTTGAAAATTTTTTACATTTGTTATCGTATATTTCAATTAAGTTAAGATATGTTGTGGTCTCGGCAATAAACTTAAAAGCAAATCCTGTCCTAATTAATTGTTTTCATCCTCAGTTTCGATAGTTATCGAACTTAACGGGAAATTTTTTAATTTCTTGCAATCTATAAAATAGCTTCTAAATATTATTTGGTTTCTATCGGAGATTTTATCGTTATCCCGAGTCCTGACGTCGTTGATAACAATATCGTTCATTTTAAGTTGGAGGTATTGGTTTATAATCAAAAAATTATAACACATAACATGAAAAATTTAAATCAACGCTGACTCAAAAAGTAAAACACGTTTTTCCATCTTCATTCTCCATTATTGGCGAACGGAAATTTGGGAATCGGGTTCAACTAATTTGATTATGATGACGATGGTAAACAAAAGTACACAAACATACCATACCGTTCTTAGTCGTTATTTCTCTGTCCTTTCTTCTTTCTATGCGCATATTAAGACCATAAAACGTGTTTTATTATTGAATTCTGCGCTGATTTGAATATTTCATGTCGGCTGTTATGTATTTTTGTTTGTAAATGAATACCGCTAACTTTAACTGAACTGATGTTGTTATCAATGCCGGATGCCGACGAAATCCGCGATAGATATTAAATACTATTTAAGAGCTATTTTATACGCGCTAAATTAGAAGAAATGAAAAAATTTCCTGTTATGTTCGGTCACTATCGAAACTGAGAATGAAAACAATTACCGTATTTATTCGATTATAACACGCAAAATTTTGAACTGAATTTTAGGCAAAAATCAATGCTGCGCGTTATACACGAGGTCTGAGAAATGCGGTATTGAAAATGTGGTTTTAAACATCTGAAACGTGCGTGCGCTCGCGCATGCACATTCCAATGCAGGACGATTTCGTGCAAGCACACGCACATGCGACAGCTCAGCGTGCGTTTGACATTCGTGCAAGCGTTCGATTTCGTGCAAGCACACACACATGCGACAGCTCAGCGTACGTTTGACATTCGTGCAAGCGTTCGATTTCGTGCAAGCACACGCACATGCGACAGCTCAGCATGCGTTTGACATTCCCGCTGCGTTGAGTTGTATTTGGGATTATTATAAACACGAAAAAACAGTATTTGAAGTTTGCGATATTTGAATTCAAATTCGATTTGGACATCCCTGCATTAAATTAGTCAGTTTTTAGTTGTGTTTCCAAAAATTAGTTGTAAATCAATTATTTTAATTGTCATTATGTCTTACGGTGAGCTTCAGTTTAGTTTAGAATTTTTCCGGGGTTAGGGTCGGGAAAAGGTCCATTCGCAAGAAGTGCATTTTGTTTTTAGTCTTGACGAATTCACCCAACGAGCAAGGCGCGGCACGAGGGAAACAATGGAATTTGCTCAAGCCGTGTTTCACTATCCACGAGGCGCAAAGCGAGGAAAACGTTGAAAATAATTAACAGCTTTTCGTTAGCAATTCGCTGGAATGTAATGAACGACGTTTTGCTACCCACGAGGTGCAAGACATAGCGAAGCGCGGTTAATGAACGAGTGCAAGGTAAGCGAAAGGCTGGGATTTAATCGATGGCGTTTCCCTTTTAACCATGAGCAATTTATCGTGGTCAGCGGGGCGACACCTAGTGGCGTTGCGACTTACGTTGTGGTTGCACTGTGTAAATTCCTGTCGGACCCCCCTTTGAAAACGGCCTGGTTGCGCCACTGGACACAATATTCAAATATTTTGCCTGTTCTACTCAGTATTTTTGGATTTGATTCATTATGTAATAAGGAAATTCCAAGTTGAATCAAAACTTGGTTGGTATTTGAGTTTGCAACCCACAAAAAACTTTCTCATGTGAAAGTGGACCGCAACCATAAAAGACATTAGGCAGGCCTGCTGTCGAGAATAATTACAGTTCGAAAGCATGCTGAATAAACATGTAGTGCTTATATTCAAACCTAGTTTAAAGTTTTGTAAACATTCCTGAATTTCGGTTTTGCATGTTATAATTTTATCATGACATAGTTCAAAATATGTCATCTATCACATTGGTTCCCGAAGTTGATTGGCCAGGGTCCAAAATTAGAAGCCAAAGGATATTCGCAGACTAGGAGAGGGAAATGGGCACAAGGGGCTGATACTTGTATGAGAAATTAAGATACCGATATATTTGAATTCTTACGAATATATACATACTTAAACTGTGATAATGACATTACAACTTGAGGCGCTCCAGAAGTATGTGTACCAATATGGAGATAACTAATTTTGTTCGGCCACTTTACATCAAGTTGTGTAAAGTGACTGAAACCTTTGGGCAGGGGTATATTCACTTGACTAACAAAGACAGTCCCCGAACTTGTAATAGAACTAAAATAAGGAAATCAAATTACGGCCTAACCCTTAACCTGGTACACATTACGGGAGAATCCAATTGGCCTGGCCGTATTAGAATGCAAAAAGGTAAAAACACAACGTGTTAATCTATTTCACTCAAGTTCAGCAGGCCATATTAAATCATGGGCTAATTGCCTATAATCTATTATATCTTACCGATATCAGGAACATCACTGTTAGTTGTAGAAGAACAACAGTGTTGAATGAGATCGGCAGGATTCCTAGGAGTTGTAGATTGTAAAGTAGAGAGAACAGAAGGCTGAGCTTTGTTACTCTGAAAAAAAATAGGATACTATGGTAAATTGCCAGTAACTAAATTCAAAATTGTAAAAACGGGTTCTCTTTTGTGTCAAACTGGTTCCCTCATCTTAGAAAACCATTTCACGTTCCCAAAGAGCGATTCAGAATTCTAGAACAGGTTCCCCTATGTATCAAGCTCACTAACAACGGGTTCTTTCACTTTAGAAAATGTATGAATGTCACTATCAGGGCTGGAGTCAAAGCCATGGAGCAAAGCCTACCGAGTTAGATGGAGCCAGAGTTACCACAAATTTTAGTAGCACTAGCTTATAGCATCTTACTAACTTTTATTATTTTAGTGATATTTAGAAATTGGAGTCAAAACATTGAATTTATATTTAAACTCTTTTGGAATTGTAAACTTGATTGTCTGTCTGCTCTAAAGATTTCAAAATCTTTACTCCTGCTCGGATGTGTCAGAAGTTTGCAATAAATTGAAACTCCACAGCCCAGTCACTAACTACCGTAATTTTTATGTCTCGATTTGTAACAAATCAATACTCACGTCGCCAAATGAATAGATTTCACGGTCTCATGATTCCATTGTTTCCTCACAAACGTTGCAGCATTTTTGACGAACCCCCCTCCGCAGGCTCCAAACATTCCAAGAATAGTACAGATCAAGAGAGAGTCAGGGAAAGCTCCACGACCAAGTTTCACTCCTAAATTATGAAAATAATTGTTTGAAAGAACAAGAGAGTAAAATTCCAATAATTGCACATACGTGGAGATGAGCACAGCGAAATAAAGTGTTGTCGTGTGAGAATCGTAGTGGAACAAAATTATTTTTCGAAGTTAACAATACCTGAATTACGAAAACGTTGTTTGGAATAACATGAGAGCAACGCTTGGCATTCATACCACCTCGCAGCACATGTACCAATGCTTAAATATATGCTGGCCTTAATTAAGAACCGAGACTACGGAAGAAAAACAAGCACAGCGTATTTCCGCGTGTCATGAAATAAAGTTCTTACAAATTAAATTTGTCCTGAAATCTGGAACAAATGACTTCCACCATACTCAGCACAGACTTGTAACTGAAAGAAGAGGCGAAGGTACGTCATATTATTAAGATGTCTTATCAACATTCCTTTCCCCTGATATAAATATGAAAATCATTCCTAAACGGCTGGAATTGCGAAGTTTGATGCAAATTTTTCACAAACATCAAATATCAGAAAGTGTAAACAAATATATAGCAAACCTTTTATAATTTTTCGTGTTCGGATCATTTCTTTTCCCAGAACAATCACTAACATCGCTGGTTTCCATGACAACAAATTATAAATGACATCTTTGGGAGAGTAGAAGATGTGCCACCATACTATTGTCATCATGAGAACTGACTGAAATGAAAAATTAATATTTATTTATATGTCCAGGCTATCATATGCTATGTTGCCACCAATACTTGTCGATACGTAAGGATCTACAATTTTATGAATGATTGAAATCTTTCCGGTTTAGAACAGCCTACTCCAGCGTTTCTCAAACTGTGTTCCGCAGAACACTACCGTTCTGCAAGGTTAGAACAGGGGTCGAAATTATGACTAAATTGGTTGCTATAGCGATCTCTCGATCGTGAATTCGACCGCCTGAAGGCATCGTACCAGTTTGGAAAGCATAGCATATGCTTTTTTACTCAGATTAACTATTCAGGGATGTGCAGCTTTCAATACAAGGGGTACAAATAAGTGGGTGAAACCGCGGGCCACACATTATTCTAACAGAGGTTTCTAGTAGACACAAAAATATTGGTTATTGATCCTGACATGCGTTGTTCGCTTCGCACAACCTAGCTGTTAGGGCATTGTAAGGTCATAGATAATAAATTGGACTCGGGTATAGGCTTTGCAATGCAAATGGATGGAAATTACTCTCACATACCAGATTAAACAACTATAAAAGTGCAGGCCGCATTATTTTTCCTTGTGGGCCGCATTTGGCCACAGACCGCAGATTGCACAGCCCTGAGCTTAACAATAAAACAAATCCATACCTGATTATTGGATAGAGGAGTCAGAGCAGGTTTTCCTACACAAACACTTATGATCATCCCTCCACCGTAGCAACAAGCTATCGACATCAACCATGTGGCAACTGGCTGTTTCCTTGCCTTGTTGACATCTGAATTTAAAATAATTTTCTTGAAGGGCTCTGTGATTGAAACTCAGGGGCTTTCCGAGCTATTCACTTACTTATTGAAATACTAAATTGGCTGATTTTGTAACTGTCCAAAAAGCTATAACGTCATCAATGAAATTTTACAAGCGGAGTCATTAAATAAAGTAATTTTAATTTATTCAGAAACAATAATCGGCAAATAACAATTGTGTTTTTATTTTTTGAAACTAATTGTGGGGCCATTCCCGGGTTCCATAACACTACAAGTTTGAGAACCCCTACACTAGAGTATATCTCAGTTAAAAAGCATGCAATAGATTCATTTTGGTTTCTATGTTTTGCCCAAAGTATTATTATTTAGGAGGTATCAACTACCGATAGAGAATAAGCCTTTAGAAAGCATCAAGCCATCCCTCTGAGTTTGCGGGTCGGAACCAGTAGTGGGATTCAACCGGTTCGCACCGGTTCTATAGAACCGTCTCACAGAATTTTAGGAGATCTGCGGACCGGTTGGCATTACTGAAAAAAACATAACTTTTTGCAATGGAACCGGCTAAAAAAAATATGACATTCGTGTGATGGAACCGGCTAACAAAAAATTTGAATCCCACTACTGGTCGGAACCCCATTTTTTGAAACGTAAAAAACTGTCTATATATGATCAACTCACCCCAGTCATTCCGTACTCCGTAAATTACCAGAGTATAATGAGCAATCTCTATGATTGTTGCCAGATATACTATCAAGTTATTCGTTGCGTCTGCTATCAATGAAACATCCATTATGATATACTAACTGAGATACAATAATAAAATTAGAAATGGGTGTTGTATAATTCAGTATGAATATACAGTATCTAAATTTGAAAAAAATTATCATATATCGTATATATGAACGTGCCGGCAGCGGCGCAGCTAGCAATAGGGGGAAGATGTTTGATTTGAAAATTTTATCTTTTACTTGCAAAGTGCGATTTTATCTTTTACTTGCAAAGAGAGGCGAGCTACACGCAACTATGAAATTTATTCAACAACATTTCGCTATGAAAGCCACAGTCCGACAGCCGGTGTCGTGAATTGCAGTTTGTTTCAATTTCAAATATCCTTAATAATATCTTAAAAAAGTGAAATAACGAGTATATAAAAACCAATGACAACACACTGAAGTAAAATCTTGAAATTACAAAATTTCCTAAACCTTCCACTGTTCCACTAAGGCTCAAAATATTACACGTAGACTATTTCTGTACTGCAGTTATGTGCAAACTTTTGAACTGTCTTTCTACCATCCCCCCAGAAGTAACTACTTAAGAAGCTTCTTATTCTACCAACTTTAACCGCCTTTAATAAACAAAGTATACAGGTATAGCAAATAAAATTGACCAACGCAAGGTCGCGCTTTAGACCGGCGAAGTCAGCTGGGAATGCAGCTGCACTCAGAACAGCTGTGCTGTTGACAATAGGCGGGGTCAAATTGTGTGCGGCGGAGCGTTACCGATTGGTCCCACTCACTGAACTGGAAATATATGGAACGATCTTCTCTCTCGTTTTGCGTTGTCGCTGCGCGGGACAATTTGATCGCCGCCATCTTGGCACTTATGCTTCCAAACTTTCTTCCTGCTGGTAGGGTAGTTCGCTGGTTTTGGCTTGTTTTTCGTGTTTAAAAGCTGCTAGTTTCATAATTGGGTATTTACGTTCAAACTTCCCTAAGTATAGGTGGCTAGGTTAGCATTTGTCACTAGCTAGTTAGTATTTTTTTTTTTATATATTAGGCTGACAGTACGATATAGTTACGGAATAGTTTAACTAAAGGTACGGTATGTCATTGCCAAAAAAATCTGAGGCGGAGAAAATGATTGGAAAAAGTAGCGGTATTGGTAGACTACTCAATGCTCCGCATATGGTTGCAAAAAACGTTTAAAAGGAAGGACTTTCGAAGTGATAGCGAGGGAGATGATGACGAGGAAAGTGTGCTGAAACGAAAATATATTAAAATACATTTCATAAGTAAGAAAAATAGCCCAGCAGTTTGTGTTAACAATATCAGTTTTCAGTTGTCTGCCAGTGTGTGTTTTAGCAATTTGTTCATAGCCTGCTAAACATAGTAAAAGATAAAGCTAGTTTTATTATCATGATATACAGATATATGTTAGAGTAAATGCATACAGGTATAGCTGTCTCGGTACAGTATTGAGGCTCGTCTTCTGTAACTATAAGGTCAGAAGTCAGTTTGTAGTAAAGTTGTAATTTAGTCAAAGTTGTTGGAAAAATTGTATAAGCATTTAAATCATTTGGGCTGAAGGCGACAGCAAGTTTATAACATACAAAGTGGTCAACAATTTAGCGCATAAAACTATTATTGACTAGAAAAGAGCGTTTTTGACTATACAGATAGACTATGTTAAATCCAAATTCTGGTTCTGGCCTGCTTCAATTCAAGTAGCTCAAATCCGAATAAATTGTGCACTTACTGCATGAAATGATTATCAGTTCTTTTTTGCTCATACATAATTAACAATATTTTTCTCAGATTTCCTTTGAATAAGGCACTTTGCGAGAAGTGGGTAACTGCTTTGCGCAGGGCGAATTGGATTCCAACTAGTTCTTCACGTTTATGCTCTGACCATTTTAAAGAGAGCGATATTAAGAGAACCGGGCAACGCACAAGAATTAAGGACAATGCTGTTCCGACCCGATTCAAAGCATTTCCAAAATATTTAAGAAAGGTATGCATAAGATAAACAACAAATTGAATCCTCAATAACTTTAAATGTTGTACCCAAAGCGACAAAAAATCCTGTCACATATTTTAATGGGTGTTTTTTTCATATATCAGGCAATTAAGATCACTATAGCATGCAGATACCTAGTATTTTTGCTTATGCTAATAGACTTGATCTGTTATGTATTTTAATTTTTAGTTTATCGGAATAACTATATAAAATCATCTGTTTATGTGATGTGTGAGATTTTTTTTTACGACAAATGCCTTCTAAATTTTCAAAATTCTCGTTTTTTGCCACATGCTTCGGTTCAACGCATCTAAAGTGGGACATGCTCATGATCATCAAAATTTCTTGCAGGTCAACGAACAGCGAAAGTCACCGACAAAAAGAAAATTTCATTCATGTGTAAAGCAGAAGTGGTCAGTGCAGGAGAAATTCAACAATGTGCTCCATGACCACTCATATTCACAGGTCATTGCTTCACCTACAAAGTTAAAAAAATTAAATCTCAGCTTACAACATTTAAAAGCAGTAAGAAAACGACTCCGGCTTTGTCAAAAAAAAACATATCGATTGCAAAAACATGTAAAATCTCTTGAAACGGTGCTAAAGTCCCTGAGAAAGAAAAACTTGGTGAGTGCTTCATGTGAAGAAAGTCTACAGCGATCTATACCTTCATCAATCTTCAATAGAATTTTAATGAATTTACAAACTGGAAAAAGCGTCAAATATCCCAAGGAGCTTTTATTTTATTTTATTATTTTATTTTATATTATATTATATTAGTTTATTATTGTTTTTATTAATAAAAAAAAAATGTATGTAAAAAAAAAAAAAAAAAAAAAAAAAAAAAAAGGAGCTAAAAACTTTTGCTATGACTTTACAGTTCTATTCAAATAAAGCGTATCAATATGTGCGGAAAGTCTTAAATCTGGCTTTACCACATCCAAGCGTAATAAGAAAATGGTACCAGAAACTTCCAGCTGAGCCTGGTTTCACAAAAATTGCATTTGATGCGATCCGGCTGAAGGTGAGTGCTGCATCGCACCCATTGATTTGTGCTATGATGATTGATGAAATGGCAATTAGGAAACATGTTGCTTGGGATGGAGAAAGGTATCGGGGCTTTGTTGACCTGGGAAATGCTGAAAATCAGGATGATTCTGCCCCACTTGCCAAGGAAGCTCTTGTTTGATGGCTGTTTGTGTGAATGGGTCCTGGAAAGTACCTTTGGGATATTTTCTCATTAATGGATTGACCGGAGAAGAAAGAGCAAACATCATAAAGATTGGGATTCAAGATTGAGTGAAACTGGAGCCAAGGTGGTATCCTTAACTTGTGACGGGCCATCTTGTCATTTTCCAATGCTCTCTCATTTAGGAGTTGTTGCCTCGCATGTAAGCATGCAATCATATTTTACTCATCCTTCGTGCCCATCTGAGCGGATTTATGTTTTCATGGACGTTTGTCACATGCTTAAATTAGTCCGAAACACCCTTGCAGAGTGGGGTGTTTTGCGTGATGGCAATGGGAACAAAATTTTGTGGGAATATTTTGTGCAGTTGCAAAAACTCCAATCAACTGAAGGTCTTAGGCTTGCAAACAAGTTGAAGCAAAGACACATACCCTGGTATCAACAAAAGATGAAAGTTGATATTGCTGCTCTGAGCAGCAGTGTTGCAGATGCGATCGAATACTCTGATACGGTGCTGAAATTCCAGCAGTTTAGTGGAAGTCAAGCAACTGTAAAATTTATCAGAATTTTTGACCAGCTTTTTGATGTGCTAAATTCCAGAAATCCCTTCGCTAAACGATTTAAGGAGCCACTAAGACCTTCAAATAAGCATATTTGGGAACCATTCATGAATCAGGCATGTGCATACATTGCCACAGTTGAAGGATTCTCAGGAAGACCAATCTTGATGTCAAGAAGAAAAACTGGCTTTATTGGCTTTTTATTATCTGTATCCAGTGCAAAAGGCGTGTTCAATGACTTGGTCACTTCAAAAATATTTAAAATATCTTTTAATGTACAAATTTAGTCAAGATCATTTGGAACTCTTTTTCTGTGCTGTAAGAGGTTGGGGATTCAATAATAATCCAACTGTGTAACAATTTACTTCTGCCTATAAACGACTGCTTATGAGAAGTGGGGTAAAAGGCACAGGAGGGAACTGTGAGCCCAGGATGCAACAAGCATTTTGAATGTTTTGGACAGCTTCAGTCTGACTAATCATAATATGAGTTTAAGCTCAGTATCTTTTATGAAGAAATATGACCTTGACCACGGACTCCACTAACTTCTGACCATGACTATGCTGACATACCTAACACAATCAGGTTGTCAGAATACAAGCTTCAAATAATCAAATATATTGCAGGATTTGTTGCAAAGAGGGCTGCGAGATACCATGTTTTGCATAAAATGCAAGGAGGCTCTCGTATCATCTACTGATCATACTTCAAGTTTAATATATTTTAAAAACCGTGGAGGATTAACAGTTCCGTCAGCAAGTGTTATAAAAGTTTGTAGAGAAACTGAAAAATGTTTTCAAAGAATATTAGCTACCTCTGGAGGTAGACTGCCCCAATCCACTGGGCTCATCAATGCTATCGTTATTGCAGTGCAAGATGGTTTAATCGATAAGCCTATTTTTCCCGACCTTGTAAACCACTGGCGCGATACAGGGTTTGGTGATTGCCATATTAGTTTGATGGTGAAGGCCATTATTAAAGCATATTGTGGCATGAGCATAAGGGCCAAACATATGGCACGAGAGTTTAATGACCAAGCTTCTGCAGTTAATATAAGAAAAAAATTGTCAAAGTTAACTATATTTCAGCACCAGTGAGGAAAATTTTTCGTCATTTTCTCAACAGGTCATGCTTTGGCAATGAATAATTTTAAAATAAAGTTATTAAACAAGGTCAATCATTGTCTATTTGTATCACATTTTTCATCCTGGCATGGCCAAAATTACGTAATGTGGGTGATAATTTGGAATGCTATCAACGGAAACCTAAAATAAATTTTAAGTTTAAAATTTGTTTTAAGAAGTATTTCCAGTCTTTTCTGAACAAGTAC